GAAAATTGTGAAAGGAGTAATAGGTGGCTGGTCAAACGCCTACACAATCACATATTGGCGTATAAGAATACCCACTACCCACTATCTTCCCGTGGGTGTAGTAAGAGGCGACAGAGGGCAACTGAGGCAGAAGATGGGCAGCGGTATCTTTTTGATAACAGCAAAAAGCAATAAAAATTATGGTTGCCAACCCGCTTGCCAAGCGTGGCAAATATGGCAACGACATAAATAAACGGTCCCCAGTCCTCGGCAGCCCCGCTATTCCTGGCTACGGTGGCGACCATGGTTACGGCGTGGCAGGGGGTGCTAAGAATCTCCAATTGAGGTTCTGCTGCCACCTAAGACTACTCGTCCTGGTAACGTATAACGCACGTACACTGAGGACTGACGAGATTCCCTATCCTTACCCAATCCAAGGTGTTAAGCGTACCGTGCCGATAGATGTGTGGCTGGGCGAGTCCAGTCGCAAACAAAACCTATACGAAACCAAGGCAATTCGGGTATTATTTTAGCCCTTCAGTCGGCATGCGAAACTCTGCCGGGGTGACCAAATATTTCCCTAGATAATCGTGGGACCAAAATGGACGAAAATTGACATATTTAAAAACTCAATTCTCCTTTAATGGAATTGTTTGTAGGTTCGGAAGAGGCTTTTTTAGCCTCACCAACACCCTGCAACATTGCGCCCCAACCTTTGACGAGCCGTGAAGTGGAGGTCACGTCTGCAGCCAAACTACAATCGGAATCGAACCTGGGAAAGAACAAGAAAAGTTCGCTAGGCCTTATAAGCTCAGTGGGGCAGCACGGAAGAGGTACAGGAGACTGATAGCAGCTGAGGTTGGAGTCGAAGAGACTTTCTTCAGAAACCCTGGGACGAGATACTTTTGCCATAAAGGCAGTCGGTCTGTGGAGGAGTCCCCCAAGGCTAGGAAATCTGTGAAATGTGTTTCGTCAACAGCGCCACATATCGGGTCTAATTGTCAATTTAAACCATCCAAGGGCTAGCTCAAACGCACAGAGATCACTACAATTTCAAGTTTTAGCGGGACTAATGGACAGCATTTGATTTTCATATTTTAAAGAGATGGAGATAATGCACGCCCACATAATGCGGCAGTCGTTTTCGAATACCTTGAAGACGTTGAAATCAACGTAAGGGGTGATCTCTGCGTTCGCCCGACTTAAACCATATAGAGCATGTATGAGATAAGTTTGGAAGACAAATTAAGAAAAGAAATCATGCCCCCGATTATTTGAGAGATCTTAAAAACGAATTGCCGGAAATTGAAAGATTATATTACTTACTTGGTTAGGTATATGCAAAGGAGACTGAAAACTGTTCGAAGAGTTAGAGAGTGAAACACAAAGAACTATCCTAAGCATTTATGAAAAAAGAATTGTCATTTTAACGTATGTTTTTTTGTCTTTACTAATATTAAATTCACGAATAATAAGCAAAATTCAAACTATAGAATGTGACAATTAACATACCTATCCATATTGCGATATTTTGTTTTATACGAATTTTTTTCGCATCACTCTTGATTTGACCATAAGTATATTATTTGTATAACCTGAAACAATTTTACAAAAACAAATTAATAGTAACAATAACCATTAGCTAAAACATATTTTGGTTATCACCGCCATTTGCTGGATTATCTTTCTTTTAAGTTCGCGCCATATTGGCGGAATGAATGTCACGTCTGCTTGAAGTTGTCGTCGGCCAACTTCCTTGATTATCCACACGTGGTGCGAATATCGAAAATAGGCGCTTCTTTTCCACTTATGTAATGAGTCTGTTTATGTTATGATTATAAATACGATAGAGATACTGGTACATAAAAATCATGTATGTAGGTATTTTAAGTGTATAAACATTCTAAACCATATTGTAAAATTTACACTAGTTTTAAGATCATAATAATGTACCACCAATGTGTTAAGAGGATTGATTATAAAACAAAAAACTAAAGTGCAAAAGAATTATAAAAGGTAGAAAATTATATTTTTTTTTTTTCAGGAAAAAGGTTAAGAAAGAGTTTGAGTAGTAAACCTAAAGTGCAAAGACCAAAGTCAGTCCAATAGAGCTTCAAATAACGATACCGTTTGGTTATTGATTAGAGAGTCTATCTTCCAATCAAATTTTATTATGTTAGTGTCATCAAACAGGGATTAGATACATTAAAAAAATATGTATCTAATCCTTGTTTAACTCTATATTTAGGTAGATAGGCATCTATATACACCATATATACTACTATACCACTATACTATACTATATATACCATATTATATATGTTAGGATGACAAATAAATAAAAGTTCTCCACTTCTTGTTTTACTTATTCGTTCTTGATATAGATATATCTCTACATTTAGGTAGATGCCTATATGGTAGGATGACAAATAAATAAAGGTTCTCCACTTCTTGTTTTCTCCACTTCTGGTTGTACTTATTCGTATTTATCGATTAATAAACAGATGTTTGCGATGTCGACAAAAGTGTACACATTGTTTTCAACAGCGAAGAAAGTGTATTTTATTTAAATAAGTCACCTTGTGAAGATAAAGGTCATATAAATCACATCATCATCATCCTCACATATGGGATATTTGCTATTTTGAATATTTTCAGGTTTTAACAAAAAGATGCTGCCACAAGCAGTAGAGAGATGCTGCTGTAGGCTCCACGTTAATTTCTCCCGTTGTCTCTTAAGATACCCTTGGGATGATACTCCATATTAGACATATATTTATACCACCACTACACGGTTATTCATTCATCATTATTACAGCTCGTCACAAGTACACTGCTGAACATAAGCCTACCTCAAGTAATGCAACAAATCACGGTTCTGAGACACATGCATCCATCGACTACCTGCACATCTTACCTGGTCGTCACTCCATCCAGTGTCATTATTAATTCATTGGCTAATATTTTTGACTGCCCGTTGGTTTAGTGGTTGGAAGCGGAATTTTTGATCATGGGGTCCCAGGTTCGATCCTAGGTCGGGTTGAAAATAGTTAGTTAAATAGTTATTGGGATTTTCTGTTAAAAAAAATTTCACTAGCAGCCCGGAGTCAGGAAGTAAGTAATATTCACGCCCTTGCCTCCGAAAGCACGATAAACCGTTGGTTCCGCGACTGATCTCTTTCCGGTCGTGTCGTTCCATGGGACTATGAGAGAGAAGGAATAGAGAGTGCACCTGTGCTTGCGCATAATATAGTCTCTTTTGAGACTAGCTGCCGTGAGCAAAATTCGATCCGAAGGATATTGATATGTCTTCATTACAGCCTATCAAAACTTCACTGCTGAACATAGGTCCACATAGTTCGCATCATATGGGCAATATTGGCTATAGTTGCCACGCTTGGCAGGCAGTTTGGCAACTGAAATTGTTGAGAATTTAAAATTGTTATACTAAGGGTGATATGTGGTAATAGAGAGAATATTGTTCTTAAAACGATCGTTAAAAGTAAGTAAATATACGTTCTACCAACCTCTGATACATTTCCGACATATTTTAAGAATACACGTACTCGTAAATAAAGAATAGTTCGGAATAAAAAGGTTATATTAAAATGTAATGTCTTTGTTGATTTTAAGAATTGCCATTTGACACATAAACAAAAAAAAGTTCGGAATGAAAAGGATATGTTAAAATGTAATATAATACTACACATTATTTTGTTGTCTTTGTTGATTTTAGGAATTTCCACTTGTGTATAACAATATTACATAAATATTCACGCCTGTCACCCAGAGGGGCAGGCAGAGACTACAGACTTCCATTTGGAACGATCCTGACATACCTCTGTTGCCTCCTTTATATCCATATATCTACGAATACACGCTCGTCGGTTAAGAGTACTCTTAACGTGGCCCATTTTCAAAATATCAATTAACAAAGTACCAGTATTACAGTGTTACAGAGAGATTTGAGTCTGCACATTATTACTATTTGACTAATTTATATTAAATTTCTGTAGTAAGTAAACCATGAAAAAAGAAGATTTTTGGCTATGAAAGCGGGTGGAAATAAGAGTAATAAAAAAATAAACAGTTCATTCATTTTTACTCAGACCTTCCACTTGGACAAAATAGATGGACTGTTTATTTATTTATTTATGACATCCCTTCACAAGTCCACGGTTGAACATATCTATCAGTCTTAACCAAGTTATTAAACCAAGTTATTAGGTTTATCTGGCAGCACCTCGAAGTTAGAATGTCGGCCTCGTAATGCACGTAACGCTGTTCCTGCGCCTGAACTCCAGTTGTGACGATTGCCGTCCCATCGGAATATGAGAGTGAGTGTATAGAGACACAATCCTGCCCTGCGTGATAGTCGTTGAGACTAGCCGTCGAGTCCGAAATTCGCTCTAAAAGACAATATTGCGAAAATAATGGAGGAGGAATAATCCCTGTTTCCTCCACTGTTCCAGTAGACGTCTATATTATACAACACATAAACCTTGAAATATATTTAATTTCTCAGATGTGATAATCATCTTGATGCTTTCTTTATAATATTGTCATTCACCGCCACCTACTTGTTAAATTAACAATTGAAAGTCCATTCCGGTGATTCCGTCATTCCGATGATGTTGACGGGTCTCCCCGTCAAGGTTATGTTTAGGGTTCGCCGTTTGATTGTCATTGTCATTATCAAAATTCATCACCAATCTACAAGTCCTCCTATGTAGATAGATCCCAAAGAGATGGAGTGATAATCTGATAAAAGATCCAGAGAGTCGATAGAAACGGGTCGCTCAGGACCTTATTAGGGGCGAACTACAGATGAGGCGTATTTTAGTGTTTATTCAAAAAATAACCTAATATATTTCAAGTTCATGTTTTGACTTTAATGTACTTACCTACAAATGCTAAACTATTTTAATAACTTATAAATCATAACAATAAATAAATTAAATTCTAGAGAAAATTTACATATTGCTTAAAGATTAAAGTGTTAAAACATTAATTGTCTCGGTTCATATATTAACTTTTTTCAAGTCCATTTTCTTCGATTTTCCTAGTTTTTCTGCTTCACAAATAGTGTCAGATAAGACATCATTTGAAATATCTGGCACCAAAAATGTTACTAGCCCAGCGAACAATGATGCTAGGCCAAATATAAGTGACGGAAGACCAAACCAGTACGGCATCTGAAAATTTTTATTGATTATTTTAACATTTTGGTATTACTAAGTAGCGTACCTAAAATTTTGTCAATACTTTAATTTATTTACAGAGGTTTGAAAGGTTTACCAAATACAGATAGTCACATAAACAAAATCTGAATTCATATTGTTATTTTGTATAACTTCACTATATTTTAAATCTGTCATATAATTATTTTTTTCAACTTCAAAAAAGAGGAGGTTCTCAATTCGATTGTATTTTTTTATTTTGTGTTCTATCTTAGAACTCTCATGAGGTCCAAGAGTCCAAGAGGAAAAATTTTTATACGATCAAGTTAATATTTTCGGAATTATGAATTGAAAAAGAAAAATCGTGAAAAATAAAAAAAATATTTTAAATTTTTTGGTGAAATACTAATAAAAAGTTGATATGACGTTTTACGATAAAGTAATTATTTTCGGAGTTACGAACTTTTAAAGGAGTGACAAATCCCAAATTCGGATACATTTAACTTATTAAAATTATATAAAAAGAGAATAAAATATGAAATTATTTATTTTTATATTGCTTTTATATAATACACAATTAAGTGCCGATTTCGAATACTTTTGATTCATTAAAAATATATAAAGAAAACGGACAAAATATTTTCTATGTTCTTTATTATCCTTAGGCGAGAATAAAAAAAGTTTTTCAATTCGTTATATATTTTTAATGAGTCAAAACTATCCGAATTCGAGATTTTTCAAACCTTTAAAATTCATAACTCCGAAAATATTTACCCTGTTGTAAAAAGTCATGGACCTTTTTTATTTGTATTTCATCAAGGAATACATATTTCTATATATATATATATATATATATATATATATATATATATATATATATATATATATATATATATATATATATATAAAATAAAAAAATAATGAATAGTATTTATACCAGATGGGTATTTTGGATTTTCGAAACCTTTTTAAAATGTATAACTCTGAAAATATTAACTTTATCGTAAAAGTCATGAGACATTTTGATTTGCATTTTATCAAGAAATATTAAGAAATGTTTCGCTTGAAAATAACAATTTCATGCAATTGATTTTTCTTGATTTTTCCAACCTTTGAAAAAAAAATAAAACAATATGGCATCGAGTTGTCCCATGACAACTTGCATTTATACAATACAACAAATTGAAGAGATTAAGAAATTGAGGCGGCTAGTTTTCGGTACTCATGCATCGATTCATCGTGGACTATCTTGTTCACGTTAAATTTAAGATAAAATTTACAAGATGTTTAGGATCTTATAAATGGAAGAGCTACGCAAAGGCTATGTGTGGCACAAATGCATTGACTTGACCGGGGAAAGATTAAAAGAAAAGAACACCAGGGTAAAACAGCAGCCTGTTTATGCTGTATTTCGTGTGGTGAGTATAAATAAACGAAGACTTTTACTGGAAACGTGACTTTCCAACGTGGTCCTCATGGGTGATAACGCATTTTGGCTTTTGATTCTTAATCGAAGACACATGTAGACTATGTTTTTCTCACCCTTATTTTATAAAATATATATTTAAATTTTAAGATAAAATATAAAATAATCTTTATATATAAAATTACTTGTCACATTGTAGTACTTTTTTCGCGGACGAACTCTTAAAGCACTCCACGGATTCGATGAAGTTTTGTAAATGTGTATTGCTTGCATCAACTTGAGAGGTAGGATTTTTATCCCGATAAGTGACCCTCAATATTTATATTGCGCATTTAAAGATGTTTAAAGGACAAATCGTTGGCAACGCCTGCCTGGCTAGCTAGTAAAATATAAAGAATAATATCAGCTGAAAACTTGTGACACATTGATGCTGATGTAATAATCCATTAAATGACATAAAATATTTAAGAGTAATATCAGAAAAATTTTGTGGATTTCAATGAACTTCATAATATAATATATTACTCTTAACTTGTATAAATTATTTATATTTGTTTTTCTGTTTTGCGTTTATTCAAGAATTAAGTTTTTAATTATATTTATACTAGTTAATTAAATGTAAATCAACAGCTTATTGAAATGTAATGAGTGCTATCATGTTTTTGACGTAAGTTTTCTTTTTTCCAAATCTATTACCGCTCCAAAACGAGCTTTCACTGACTGGAAAAGAAACAGTGAAATATAATCCGATAGCACTGCAATGTGATTTAAAAACATCACATAGTAGTTTGGCCACCGTTTCATTATGGTTGAGCTTAAGCCCGCGTTACTATAAATTTTAAAGTAGTTTGACGGAAATAATAATAAAATATTTATTACACTATTTTTATGGTGGCGTTATCCTTAAATAACCTGTATGAAAACCAAGGTAAAAATAGCAGTGATTCCCAGAATCGTATTTGAGTTGCGAGCATATTAAGATTTCCGCCTGGCTTTTTTCTTGCTACTGGTCCTCTTACCTATGACAGTTATTTTACATGTTTATAATATTGACAACTTGAATTGTAAAAAGCTATCGTTAGTATTTTTGATAGGAAAGAGCACAAACTTATCATATAAAACACGATATAAAAATACTTCTGTAACCCATAATAGTCCACGGCTCTACATGAGTCTCTTCAGTTAGTTGTAATTACATCATTCGCAATTCCACACCTTCCTACCAGACTTCTCACACATTTGATGTTGCTTTTCATTACCGGTCTTGGTATTTTAGCTCTGCTGCAAACGGTATACAGTATAACCGCCTTCGATCGAAGGGTATAAAATTATTCTGATTATTACAGTAGTTACCTCTTTCCCCAACTGGGGTCACGCAGTCTTTTCAGCCGCCACCATATTGCACTTTAGTGAAGAAAGTAAAATTACAGCCTATATACGTACCACTGCTGGGCATAGGACACACACACATCTCCTCATTTCTGAGAGGGTTTCAGGGCAAGGAAGTGTCCGCCGCGCTGCCCCAATGCGTGTTGGCGAACTTCACATATCTTTGAAATATTTTATTTCTTATTCCTCAGATATGCAAGTTTTCTCACGATGTTTTCCTTCACCGCCGAGCACGTGGTAAATCAGCACATAAAATTGCAATTAACAATTTCATTGGTGCCGGCGGGGATCGAACCCGGGTTACTCGCGTTCTGTTATTTTTACAGCGAGCGTTAACCATCTGAGCTACCACGGCTCTACTACTACTACTATGGCACTATAACATGTATTATATTGTTTCATTCGTAAAACGTTAATTTGAAAAACGTTCCCACGTTAAAGTAAGTTATTATAGAATACGTAATAATTACCAGTAATGGTGTCTGCGGAGAAATTATAGATCCAATCCGACCCAGGGATGAGCAAATTGCATGCATTGAATTTCTGGTGTAAGTAGGAAATAATTCAGACGTATACAAGTAGGTAATATGAAAATAAAAGTTGGACATCATTTTTCCTGCCATATATAAAAAGATGGACAACGCAGGCAAATCTAAAAATTAATACAATATTAAAATATCCAAAGGTAGTCTTTGGTATAATGTATAAAATCGGAACGATATATATGAATTATCGTCAAAGGTAACGTTTTTAACTTACCAGCGGTCACGAATGGTTGTAAAATACAAAGTACTGCTGCAGCGAAGAAACAGCATGTCAGTGGCAGTTTTCGTTTGAAGTTTATGAGTATATAACCAATTATGAATATGCCTGGTATATCAACACTAGATAACAATGCATAATTAAGATATTTATTGCCTTGCAATGATACAGAATTAATTGTTAATCCATAATTAACAAAGGTCGAAGTTGTCCACCATACAAGACAAACAAAAAATCTTCTTCGTAATAGTTTAGATTTAAAAGTCGATTTAATTATGTCTAAAAATTTTGTTTCTTTGCTGTTTTGGCATGAAAGTTTTTCAAATGATTTTTTATCTAGTTGTAGCTTATTCTTTTTGGAAGCCTTTTCAAGTATTTCCACAGCTTTATCATTCTGTCCTTTTATCAATAACCACCGTGGGCTTTCATCTAATGCATATTTATAAAAGAAGAACAGAATCGCTGGCGCATATAGTACTTGTAGTAATGTTCTCCAGTATGGAATAAGCCATGCTGCCAAGGAAATAGTTAAACCTCCAAAACTGTAACCTAGACCGCACAATAAAATAAACTTTATCCTATGATTTGTTGAAATAACTTCTGTTACTGAAAAGGAAATAATTTTTTTTAAGACAATGACAATTTCCTAATTTTCAAATGCTTTGCTTTTGCAAATGGTTACTTACTCAAAATAAATGCTGGAGAACATGAATCACCTAAAGCAGCTTCGAAGAATTCAAAAGCAATATACAACCAGTACCAAGGCGAAAAACTTCTAGCTATACCAAATACTCCACCGAGTACACCAGTTACAATAAGTATAGTTTTTCTTCCCAGCCTAAAAGTAAAAGAAAAATTGTCTATGTACTTGCTCACCGCCTTACTAAAGGTACCTATATTTTTAAATTGTCAATGAACGTAAGTGAAAAAAAAATGGTATTATATTAAACGACCAATTTCATTCGATACCGCTTTGTTTCAATATTTTTGGTTACAATTTGATTTTATAATTAAATTAAACAGGAAATTAATTTTCAGAGGCCGATGTGGATTCAATAGATATCCTTTTTCTTCCCATTGGTTTCTTAAGAGATTACTATGGACACAACATTCAGATAAACCTTCTGGCTTACAGTAACTGGCAGAGTAATTATTCCGTTTACTTTATATTAAGAAACCAGATGTAGATTAAAAGGAAAGCAACCCATGTTCAGCAGGGGATCAGAATAAAAATATTTTTACATTAATTACACAAACTTGTGTTTCACTAAAATGAATTAGAATAAAACTTATCAAAAAATTTATCTTAAAACTGTTTTATAATTGTATATATCTCTCGTCCTTTATTGGAATTTATCCAAATTTAATTTAATTTTAAAAATATTTTAGCCGGAAGCTCGTACCTATCCGATATTGGTCCCACTATAAGTAAACCGACCATATATCCAAAACTGTGTACGGTGCCAACAAGAGTTCTCTTCCATTCTTGATTTGCGAGCTGAAACTAATGAATAATTTCTAGTTGAGTTTTTGGCCGTGGGAAATACTTAAGCAAAATTGTCATTATAATAAAAATTGTTATTATTATACTTCTAAAGATTGCATGATAAATAACCCTTGAGAATGAGTTGATAACTGTACAACATGTTTATAGCTGAGTTTCTTGCCAGTTCTTCTCAGAACAGAAGTTATTTTTAAGCCAGTAAAAGACTTAAAAGTTAAATGACAAGCTTATATTTATGATATTAGTCTTAAGCAAGATCACATAAATCCTGTTTGGTTCGTAATGGTCAGTGCAGTCCTATAAAACATGCCTTTTTAGTACGGGAACCCAATACGTGATGACTACGTGCATCTGTTTTAATTGAAACATTTTTTTCTAATAAAAAGCTCACATTTATAAAATTAGAGTCGTAAACAAGATTACATAAACCTAACTGATTGGTACTGGTCAGTGAAGTCCGTGAAAAACTGCCTTTATTTTTTCTAATAGTAAGCTCATATTTACGAGTATAACATTAGAGTTAACAAGATCACGTTCACTTGATTTTTTGGGGATGGTCAGTGCAGCCTTTATTTTTTAATAATAACAAGCTATAGTCACTGAAATCATAAGATATCACACTAGAAGAGACGCCGATACTGGCTTACTTGCGACACGCGTTAGAGGCCACGGAATCAAACTTACGTACTTCCATAAAAAAGTACTTTGTACCCGCACTGTCGTATAGATTTTGTTCGTAGTATCTGTTCTAGTATTTATTACATATTAATGCTACAATTATATTTTCACCCTTAAGGAAATATCTCTAATGAATATTAACTTTCAAATTGAAACTAAATCGTGATATTATACTTACTTCTGCTACGAAGGAGTCCGGCTTATCATACACCCATTCGATACAATCAACGCTAGAGTTACCGCCAATGGAAAATTTATTACATCTAAAAAAGGCAAATAATATATTATAAGTGATTTCTTTCTTTATACATATAAAATAACAATACTTCTATAACTAATATAGATTTTCTTGACTAAGGTCTCCTTCTTTATTAGCTGGTAAAACTTCACAGCTTCTCAAGGCATTGTTATTAGGATTTACGAATGCAGTATTCGAAGCCGGGTCGTGAACCACTCCTGGCATATTAGACAGAGTTGATAACGGGATACTAGTTACGTTAAGAGCGTTACCAGTATTTCTTTAAAAAAAGTAAAAAAAGGCAATAAAAAATCTTTAGCGGGGTACATCTACTCCTAATTCTCACATTTTTACATTAACACCTATTCTGCTCTCCAGTCCGGTGAGCAGTTTGTCGAATGGCTCCGGGAGAGAGCGCAGGTCGTGTTGATCTCCGGGGCAAGCCTCAGAAATTCTTCTTTCACGTAGTTTTCGCCTATTATTTGGTCAAGTAAAATAGGAAACAGACAGAAATGAAACACTTAGATGATCTTCTATTTAATTTTCTATCCCAACATCTTTTTCCATTCTAACCCAATTCTAGGTTTTAAGCGTACCGCGCCGATAGATGCGTGGCTGTGAGGGGGGAGTCCAGGCGCATACGGGGTGCCTACCCGAGACCAGGGCGATTGGGGTAGTATTTTCGCCCTTCCCTCTACATAAGCGGCTCTGGCGGGGGGGTGGGGGTGACTGAATATTCCCCTAGCTAATCGTAGGACCAAATTGAATGAAGATTGACATTTGGACAAAATCAACTCTCCTTTAATGGAATTGTCTGTAGGTCTGGATGAGATTCTTTTAGCCTCACTAACACCCTGCAACACAACGCCTCAACCTGGGACGAGCCTTGAAGTGGAGGGCACGTCTGCAGCCAGAACTGCAATCGGAAACGAATCAGAGAGGGGAAAGACAAAGTTCACTAGGCCTTACAAGCTTAGTGGGGCAGCACGGAAGAAGTACAAAAGGTGATAGCAGCTGAGATAGGAGCCGAAGAGGCTCTCTCTCTCTTTATCAGTAGGCCTGGGACGAAATTCCTCTGTTCAAACCTCCCCCGGTTCTGAGGTACAATTCTCCACTGAAGTTAAGTACTTGGGCGTCACGATCGACCAAAAACTAACGTGGAACTCTCACCTTAGCAACGTATGTCATAAGGCTAAAATAGCTTTAGGTACGTACAGTCATATAATTGAGAATAACTTGGGCTTGAGTCCCTTCTATGACTTAACGAGGCCGATTATTACCTACGCCTCTACTGTCTGGTGTAATAATGCCAAACAAAAGGCAACTGTGGACGGACGAAACAGTCTACAAAGGACTGCCTGCTGAATGACAACAGGAGCCATGCGATCATCGCCTGGGGCGCCTTTTAATACACTTCTATAACTAAAGCCCCTTGATCTTTATTTAAACAAGAAAATGGAGTCTAGTTTGTATAAGGTTAACACCCAGGGCGGTCTGAGCAGAATTGCTAGTGCTGAGATCAAACTTAGTGATCTCGAAGTTAGTTGGAGACTGCGTGAACCGTCTAAATACCCTAGAATGTAACATCAGTGTCCTTTTAAGATAGGTTCCTGATCACGCGGGAATTGAAGGCAATTAAGTTTCCGACAAGCTTGCACGAGAAAGCTAAAAGAGTACATACTTTGGACTCGAGTCATTTTGTGGAATCTCAAAATAGACTCTCGAAACTCTTTATCATAATAAATCACTTAAGATTTGGTCTGATACACTAGTCTTAAAACATTCTAAAACTTTAATCTGGAATTTTGTAAATTCACATCAGAAGCCCTGGGATTAGGTAAAAACAAATCGCGCATTCTGGCAAGAGCCCTGGTTGGACACTGTTGTCTTAAAAAGCACAGGTTCATTCTAGGAATAAGAAACTTAAGGATGTGCCAGTTTTTTTCCTTAATAGAAAAAATACCTCTGCATATTTTAACTGACTGTTGACCCTTAATGCTCAAACGTAACACTCATCTGAGAAACTATGTACTCTACCCAGAGGAAGCGAAATTACTCTCAGCTACGCAACTCCTACTGTTCATTGAAGACATAGGGCTTAGCAGAGAATTATAGCCATAGCAGCGATGACAATAGATCTTTTAGATCGCAGTGATACTGATCTCTGTTTGTAGACCTGTATAGCTGCTCGCATGCTCACAAAAAACGTCTTTGGCGATGCTCCTCTCCTCTGTCAACAACTATTCCTAAAATCTATGTATCTATATCCATATTTTAAATAAATAAAAACAGATTGCGTGGAGCACAGTAACCGTGCGGTCGGGTCTTGCATTATAAAATAAATTTACATCACAAAGTTATGTTCATAAACATTCATTTTTAATTATTGTAATACATAGGATCTGAGACGTGGTCCTCCACTGCTGGATGCATAAGAAAGCTCAAAGTCCTTCAGCATGGTCTAAAGAGGGTTATGCTAAGTTTCTCTGCAGAAAATGGATAGACCACTTCATGGATATATTCACAGAAGAACCAGAATAACTGACATAGCCCAACGGAGCAGTTCCACGAAGTAGCAACAATCAATGGGGTAGATAGGTTTTCGAGTGGAAGCCTTTAACCGATTAGCGAAACGTGAGATGGCTCCCCATTAAATAGAGTGATGACCTGATACCTGGACGTGGAACGTGCTTATAGCATTCCTTGTGGGAGGTTTCTATTAAGCAGCGACCTTGGATGTAATGATGATGATGATGAAAGCAGTGCGTGGTTACTATCCCACCTTATGGAAAGTGATGAGGCTAGTCAGGGCTACATATAGCCTTCACCTCAACCTTGAAAAAAAAATGCAATGCCGATACAACTCCCACTCCAAATGAAAAGATGTAGATCTATTTAGTTAATTTTAATACTCTAAAGAATTTTTACTTAACTACCTATTTATATTTAAACAGCTAAAATTTTGTTTTTTATGCCGTTTAATGGATCCATCTATTGCAGTCCATAAAGTCCATTGTGAAACATAGAACTCTCCCACAGGTGGCCTCCTAGAGAACTCACCAAGCTTAGCAGGCGGGTTGTCAATCACAAGTTTTTATTATTTTTGGCCCGTATCTTTTCCTCTATCGCCGTTTAGGCTACCCACGGGAAATTTTATTTATTTTAATTTTTATTAATATTTTTATTTTTATCTCTTTTTTCGTTTTAATTCTAATATTTATTTTCATTTTTATTTTTATTTTGGATGGTACATTATCTTATGCTGTCACTACACTTCTTTTGTTTATTATTACTAATTTTTTTATTATTGTGTTTGGTTATAAATTGCACATTAATTAGTGCAAGTAATCCAATCATGATGCATGGATGGTGGATAGCATTTAGTTATTAATTTTAGAATAAAAATATTGTGTATTTATCCTACGCACATATTGTTTAATTATTATGACTATAGATATCCTAAAAATAAAAAATAAAATAAAATCGTCTTGCCTTGACTTCACATTTATAATTTATTTAAAAACGTCATGTATTATTTTTTTTTATTTCTCATTTACATTTAAAATTGTAATTGTTTCATTTACATTTCACGTTTAATTTAGGACAAAAAATTTAACTGTTTCCTTGTTTAAAAATTATAAACATATTGAGGTTATCGCTATCAAGGTCGCTATCATTTCAATGTAAGTGTAATAAAGGATTACCCTAATATTCTTGGTGATGGTCAAAACGTTAATTTTAGCCTTATCATACTATAATTAACATATTACATTGATGTGATAGAGGTCATGCAAAATGATTTTTATTTTATAAAATTAAAACGACGAATAAACTAAAATTCTATTTGATGTGGCTACTGCAGTCAACGAACACCTGCAACCTTCAAATAGAAAACACAAACACAACAAGGGAAGGGAGACAAATGCATTATAACTTCTCAGGGTAAGATAAAATGCCTTACTGTCTGTAACTATACTGGCTTTCCATGCCCTTGAGACTGACAAAGGAATGTAAGCAATGTTTTTGATGTTAGAAATGGTATACCAACCATAACAATCAAGATAGATTCAAAGGCAGAAAAGGAGTCCCACCACCTAAAACGTATGCTTAAAGTTCTATTTAAATGAGGAAACGGGTCGTTAACTAAGAAGGCCCCGTATCAAAAGTATTGAACCGCGTGTGTCTGTGAAATAGCGTCCGTTGGTGAACGCGGTGTGCCCTAGTATACTGTACTATATCTAAATGTGTGATGTAGTGATCACAGCATAGGGATCAAGAAAAACATCCTTAATTCATCTCGGGGGGGGGGGGGTCTATCATTCGCTGGAGCGTACGTACCTGCCTCTACTACCGCTCTCTACAGATTTTGACGTTCTTTATTAAATAATATAAAGCTATTAAGGGCCGCGACCGGGGCAGTAGTATTGAATTAGCTATACAAGCGAAGCTTCGGAGCGAAATAAAGTGAAATAAAGTGATCAGTGTGATTAATTATTAGTGTGATTTAAGTTTAAATAAGTGTTCGGTAATTAAAGTGTCAATTTTGATAATTCAAATGGCAGTTTTTATTGTCACGAACGAATCGCTCCGTAGCATCAAGGCACGATTATTTGTAACTGATGCAATCAGAAGATGGTATGGCGAGGGAAAAACGTCTTGTACTTACATTTGCACTGCTCTCCAGCTCAAGTACTATAAAGAAGAGTACAAGAGTGATGAAATAAAGATCCTTAGAACTATAAGTATATTTCTGTAACATATACCTAACAAGTATATTTCTGATAAAATTATAGTAGAATTTGATTCATTGTCCGTTAAAATATTCGAGCTCATAATAACGAACGCAAAGAAGAGAACATATACATTAATTATTCTAAACGAATTACCCACTACAATATATATACAACAAGTTTAATACCTATTATTTCCTGCCCTACAACCCTATCGAAAAGGAGGCTTGTGCGGAGATTTGGACGTACGGAGGCAGAGCTGCTTTAGATTTTTTTCGATATTTTATATAAACAACATAATGTAAACCCTATGGTTTCCGTTAATTGCGTTTTCAGAATCTGTATTTAAACGTATAGAAATATTAAGCTATTGCATAGCTTCTATCGCCGGCCTTGAGCGCGGGGACCGAATCCAGAAATTCCGTAACGAAGAAAACCTCACGCTCCCCACTCCGACGGGCACGGAGGTGTGGCCTGAAGGCCGTGCATTGTCTAACGTCGTTTCTTTTCGGCAGTCTTCGACACGGTGTTTGTGCGCGTGCAACTAGACGTATTGTACGACTCTACGAAGCTCGCACGAATCGAGACGAGCTGCTCCGAAATCGGACGAATACATAAGCAGCTGTTTATGAGAAAGTATATAGGTGTATAGGTATTTATGTACAACAGTGAATAGCTGTACTTGTAAAATTTGTGTATAAAGTGTTTTGAATATGAATGAACAAAGTGCATTTATTATTAACAAACTTATGTTTCTTATTTCAGTTATCACAAACCTATAGTTTCAATGATAAATATTCCTGAATAAGCAACAAAACTAGATAAATATAGATAGTAAGATAATAAAACCCACATGTATTGTAAAATAATAAAAATATTTAAACAATATTAACTTTTTATTTATTTAATAAAAGAAAAGAAATGTTTTCTTATCGGTCACCACACTCAAAAAAGTGTAACTTGAATTAATATCAAAGAAAAAGAACTGCATAAATAAAATAAATAAATAATTATAATTGTTTAATAAGTTGATACTAAATGCTATGCAATAGCTTTACCGCGGCAGTCCCCGAGTGCCGCACGTCTTTTTTTTTTAGAAAACTCGAACAATTAAAATATTATTTAATAAAAAAAAATATTTTTTTAGTTAAATAATATGAGTATTTATTACCTCTAACTGACACGCGCATCGATAAAGTGGGGGTTTTGACAATATTCTTATTCACTAGACAATGCAGAGGTAATAAAACCACATGCAATTGGCAAATTAATTCATTTAAAAGTTAAAAATTTTAATGGTCGAGTTTTCTGAAAAAAAGTTATTTCTAAACGTTTGAATACTGATTCTGATAAGCACTTAACGGGAAACACAGGATTTTGGTTACATGTTGTATATCCTTTCATAAAACTATAATTATATATAATTTATATTCAGTTATCCTATACTTTATCAGTCAGTAAGTATTTTACAGATTGTAATCATCAATTATGGCAAGAGCCCAAAACTGGAGGTGACCATGACTATTGATGAACTTAGTATAAGTCAGTTATAAAGTTTTAATCGTAAAACCGAGTAAAACATGTTTAAAAATGTTCCCAAACTCTCAATTTACTACCAAGACCGTACATGGTGTATTTATATAAATGGTTATAATCACGATTATTTCATTGTAAATATAAAGCAATTAATGTAATTAAAGAAAAACTGGTTAAGTAAACGATTTATTAATGAGACGTGATTGATTATTTAAAATAAAAATTAACAATTAGGAACAAGCTAGGAATAACGTTGTTATAGTATAAAATATTTTACCAATGTTACGCTACCCTCGGTAGTACTGCTTACAAGTTAGTGGGTTAAAATTCCTTAGAGATGTTTATTTAGGAACAAATTATTTTACAGAATTGTTCATTTCTATTGAACTTGTCGTATGAGAGTATTGTTTTTTTTTATAGGATAGGGTGACAAACGAGCACAAATTCCACCTGATGGTGAGTGGTTGCTGCGGCCCATAGACATATACATTTATCCTCGATTGCAAATCAAAATGCAGATGCGTTGTCACCCGTAAGGACTAAGATGGAGTGCCTCGTAAAAAGGTCTCCGGTTCTCTAATCTCATCATACGAAACACAGCAGCATTAAGCTACTATTTTACGCTGGTATTATGTGAGAGCGTGGTCCTTCCCCGGTCGAGCCGACCCATTCGTGCTACAACTATACTACTAATATAACTGCAGCATGGCTCTACCACGTTGTACAAGAAATCATAGGATAATCTCAAGATATTGATAATTTTCGAATAGTATTTTGTAATTATCGTCATGGTGAAACGTAATGAGAAAGAATATGACAAGAGTGCTTGTCAAAAATATAAAAATCATAAGTATTGTAGTTTAAAAAAAATCTCACCTGTAATTTACTTTCTCAGCAACGAAAATGTAATTAGAAGAGTACATAGAATTAGTTGTGAACACTAAAAATGCTAAAGCTGCTATTTCTAAGTGATATCTACCGGATATACTGAACATCGATAATATATCTTCTAAATCGACTGTTTTCTCCTCTGATGGATCGCTCGCGGTCATGATTTTATTGCTAAGTGGCTGTAACTTATAAGAAACTATTTATACTTTATTCTTTGTTTTATCTAATTCACTTTTTTAAATATTTAAATCTACAATGTATTATTACATTAAATACGTGTGAAGTCAAGTGTAGATAAACATGAACAAATGCGCTAAGCTGTGGTAACGGCCAGATACCCCACACATTTTATTTAAACTTCAATCTTATTTGTACAAAGATTGAGTGTAGGTTATAGTAGCGTGATGTATAATGGCAATTTAACCGCGGGCTATTGTACTGCATGTTTCGAATTAAATAAATTGTCAGAACCTTGTTGTATTTGTAAACCACAATAAGGTATTCTAATTATGATAAGGCTTCAGTTGCTGTGATAACAGGTGACTGAGGAAAACAAAGCAGGAGATGGACAGTAACGTCTTCCTAAAAAATAAAAAGAAACTGCGCTTGGCAACCGGACTGCCAAGCGTGGCAACTATGGTAAATATTCATCCTATAAGACAATCTACGAGGGAAGCCTACGTTGAGCAGTGGAGTTTTGATAGGCTGCAACGGTAACGGTAAGTTGGTGAATGAGTTTAAGTTATCAAGGAGTTTTTTCTCAGATCAATTAGATATATTTAAAAAAAATAAAGACATGTATTACAAAAGAAGAAGGACTTTAAACATTATATTTATACCCGGTTTTTTCAAATTACTTCTAACGTAAGGATTAGTGCTATGGATTTGATGATGAATGAAATGTTTCAAAAGCACAAAATATAAATTTAGTATAATAATGTAACTATGTAATGGAATATCATCCCGTAAGTGCCGTATAAGGCGACAGGGGAAAACTCAAACAGGATTTATATTGTAGGAATATCATCCCGTAAGTGCCGTATAAGGCGACAGGGGAAAACTCAAACAGGAGATGGCTGCCAGCATTTTTATCATAAGAACTCAATAACAGCGGCAAATTTTATTATACACATAGGACCATGTGGACTTATATTCTCACCTCAATTAGATATATTTAAAAAAAATAAAGACATGTATTACAAAAGAAGAAGGACTTTAAACATTATATTTATACCCGGTTTTTTCAAATTACTTCTAACGTAAGGATTAGTGCTATGGATTTGATGATGAATGAAATGTTTCAAAAGCACAAAATATAAATTTAGTATAATAATGTAACTATGTAATGGCCGGCGGGACTCAAACAAAATTGTAGGAATATCATCCCGTAAGTGCCGTATAAGGCGACAGGGGAAAACTCAAACAGGAGATGGCTGCCAGCATTTTTATCATAAGAACTCAATAACAGCGGCAAATTTTATTATACACATAGGACCATGTGGACTTATACTTTGACAGAGGGGAACGCCCGCTACTCTTTTTTTATAGGGTAAGGGTAACAGGACACACATTCCGTCCGATGGTAAGTAGTTGCTGTGGCCCATAGACATTTACACTTATCATACGAAAAACAGCATTTTACGCTGATATTCTGTGAGAGCGTGGTCCTTACCCGGACGAACCGACTCATTGGTGCTACAACTATACTACTAATATAGTATTATAGTACCACGTATGAGTGATTGATATGAAGTGGCCTCTATGATTATTACAAACAACTAAAGCAATTAATCAACTAAGATATCATACAAATAATTTCCGTTTACCTTTTGCACGACGTGCATTAAAAATGTAATAGTAAAAATCTTTTTTTATTTTTATGAGTTATTAATTATTTGATCAAAATAACTTACATGTAAGTGTCCTTGGATCAAAATTACATGAAGTGGACGCCTCTTCTGTGTTTGTGTACTATGTAGTCATGAATAGACGGACCGAATCACACGAGTTTTAACTTTCCCGGGGAAAAATAAGATTTTCCTGATATCCCAACCTATATGAACTCCCACTGGCAACATCATCCTCCACCTCATGTCATTGTGAATTTATATCCACTAGAATTAGGAAAAAATAATTGAAATGCAAGCAAGCCCTTAGGGTGGGTAATAATATACAGCAGGTAATAATCCACAGAGGAGGCGTCAACTTCATATAATTTTGATCGAAGGACACTTACAGGTAAGTTACTTTGATCAAATAATTATATTCGTCAATGCCTCCTCCTTGTTTGTGTACTATGTACATGTTTAAAGATTTGATTGCTTCATTTTAATTATTTACTGTCATAAATTATCATAATTAACAATTCACAACAAAACAAACAATAAACATAATATATAAACCTAGATAATATAATTTTCCATTATGAATTATTGTATAATTATTTTATACATTTCAAATGCTCTTAATTAATAGTGGTCTCTTATAAAAAAATGATTTTTTTTTGATGTAAGATTGTTGTTAGATTATAACAAAACGTTAGTATCCAAAGTAAAAATTAAAATATGTTATGTCTTACTTAAGACCATGTAGTTTTTGACCAAAAACAAAATCACATTCATTATGAACTGAAAGGATTTTCATTTTATAATCACCTGTAATTGGATTACTTGAAATTTTAATATGATTTTTCAGTATTAATTTAGATTCAAAGTTATTCTTCTACATAATAAATTCAAAATGTTTTGTATACATTTACCCATAAAAGATAGCTGGACATACAGATATTATTTGTCTATTCAATTAGCAAATTTCCTATATGATTGTAGTGCATTGTAATTAAATAATTGACTTTTCACTCATGTGAGGTATTTTTGTTTCACTTCAGATATTAAAATGTTTTTTATGTGCTTTACATACATGTTTTTTTTTTAATTTTATATGTTAAGAAGTTATTTAAATGTATTTTTAGGATATTGATTTTTTATTTTGTTTTATTTCGATTTGACTTTATAATAGGTATTCTTCAATTCTAGAAATTTCCACTTTTTATTTTCTGAATCTTATCATCTATGTATATATCATATCATGGTATTTACCAATAATTAAAAACAAAATTAATGCTAGTCATGTTTTAATTAAGTTTACAGCTGTATTAAATACAATTTTTCTGACATACTAAACTCATTATATGTGGGAGGACAAGCTGGACTCACTCTCTAATGTACTGTTTTCGACACACTATGAGAAAGTTTTTTTTAAATATTAATATTTTAGACCATTTGAAATAAAAAAGGTCAAGTGAATTTTCTTATCTCTTTAGCTATGTTTACCTCTAATCTTTTTTATTGATGGTTGGGCTTGGCACCTGCCACATATTACGTGATATTATCACCTCTGCTGGTATGAAGCAACTGCTGAAAGCTATTGTATTTCTAGTGAGTTGTTACTGATGGAGACAGGTCGCAATATTTTAAAGGTTTTATATTTATGACGATCCTTTGATCTTTTTAAAACAAAATTCTGTACCAAATAAGAAGTCACTTGGGTTTCCTTAAGAGCATTCTTTATAATCATTGGTTAGCTCTGATAGCAGTAATGCTGTTATTAAGGGAGCCATTTAAATTGTATAAGGCACATAACAGTCTAACGAAGTTATTTACAGCATCAATATTTACACACCTAAGACCTATACACACAATGTTAAATCTTAAAAGTATATGGCTCATTTTTCACATAACCTTCTTTCTATCTCTTATTTGGCACTTGTTAAAAAATAATGGAATTTGGAGAATTTAAAAGCAATTTTTCCCTTAATACAAGATTGGTTGGTAAGTTTTTGGGATTGAGAATGCTGTGTGAAACAGAATTTTTATCTTCTTCATCACTCGAGCAAATAATTTGTCTCCTCTTTTGTCCCGAAAATGAGTAAGATCAGTTGTGAAAATAGTCAGTAGTACCGCGGGTATAATAACCCTTGCATACATTTTTGTAGTAAAAAAAATCAAACGAATATTCATGTGAAATAGAATTCGATACCTCGTGTACCCCCGTGGTGCCGCAAGGCAGATATGTGATGTACAGTCTCTCGTTCTGTCTCATACATGAGTATTATAATATAAGTAAGTAAGTTCTTTATTTCCAAGAGGTTGCACATCAAGATATTTGCTTAACATTTAATAAAGCTACATTAGTATATATACCTGAAAACATAGCATCTGCAGCCGAACTAGGCCTAATTATATTGAACTTTTATTACAATGTAGGCAGTTATGCACATATTTTGGTAGTAAATACGAATGTATGAATCATCATCATCATCATTACAGCCCTTCACAAGTCAACTGCTGAACATAGGCCTCCCCCAAGTAATGCCACAAAGCACGGTCCTGAGCCACCTGCATCCATCGACTTCCTGCATATCTCACCAGGTCGTCACTCCATCTAGTGGGGGTCGCCCTACACTACGCCTGCCGGTACGAGGCTGCCACTCGAGAACATTTCTTCCCCATCGGTTATCGGTTCTTCGCGCTATATGGCCGGCCCATTGCCACTTCAGCTTACTAATCCATTGGGCTATGTCGGCCACTCTGATTTTACTGCGGATATCCTCATTTCTGAGTCTATCACTCAGAGAAACTCCGAGCATAGCCCTATCCATAGCTCGCTGAGCAACCTTGAGCGTCCACATACGGCCAGCAGTGAAGGACCACGTCTCAGATCCGTAACTCATCACTGGCAACACGCACTGGTTGTACACTTTAGTTTTCAGAGATTGAGGTATAACTGATGAGAAGATGTGTGGTAATTTCCCGAACGCTGCCCAGCCGAGTTGAATCCGTCGATTGACCTCTCGGTCGAAGTTGGACTTACCTAGTCGGACTATTTGTCCCAGGCTAACTTATTCGTCAACAACTTTGCATAGTGCTTCCAACAACTACCGGCATATGTGTGACATGGACATTAGACATGATCTTTGTTTTGTCCATGTTCATCTTAAGACCTATCCGTTGGGAGACACCATACTCAACACCATACTCAACACCATACTCAATACACCATATTCAATGTATTAATATTCATATAAAATATAATTCAATGCACGAGGCATTGTATGAGGCATGCCCTCTCGTGGCAACGCAAAACAGATAATATGTAATGT